TTATATTGTATTATCAAATAATTATTAAATTATAAACCAAATAAAATTCAAAAACTTTTGCACCAGACTAATTAAAATTATTAAATATACGATATCAAAAAAATATATATTAATATATTTACAAAAAAATTTTTTTAAAAAATTTATTTTTATTTTTTTATTTCACAAATTTATATCAATTTTTAATAATTTATATTTAAATATTCGTTTGATATATGTATAACTCGATATATTAAATTTCATGTTAAAAAAATTTGTCCGGTTCACTGAGTAGTGACTATTGCGTCATCCTGAACTTCTTCAATATGTTCACTTTTTTCACTAGTAATATTAGCAATCGCAGCAACGCCTGTTTTATAAAGATAAAAATATTATGAAACAAAATTTAAGAATAAAAAAAAAGAACTATTATCATTAATACCTATAGCGTTTGAATCAACAGAATACGTGATAGTTTTAACAGTCTTTGATGTACTACTGACGACTTTACCGCCTTAAAATTTTTAACAAATGTCAGATTGAGAAAATTTTACAGAATGTTATTAATAAGTTTACTTTTTGCTTCGATTTCTTTAGCAACTTCCTCAATAACCGAGACTGGAGTATTTTTCTTGAATAAAATGATTTTTTGAACTAGAAAGAGATTCGAATAAGAAATAAATTATTGTTTTTCAACTAATCTATAAAACGACTTACCTGAAGACATTATGAAGATTTTTAAAAATGACGAAAAATTGGAAAGGTGTATGGTATTATATATGAAATTTAAAATGAATACGATATACAGTATAAATTTTAAAAGTTTAACCATTACGTAGCTCAATATATCCATAAAAGTTCACATTGACTTCTATGACGTCTTTCCTGTTCATTTTATATATAAAGTTTGGCCTCTGTAATTTGGGCTATGCTAGATTCATAACCATTCACATGAAGCGACATATGTTACATATTAAGAAATTTTTTTGTTTTATTAAAGTTATGCATCATAATGTACGCCATCTTTATATTGTTTTTAGGTTTATTGTTTAATAATAAAATTGAATTAGAATATTTGTCTTTAAAAATAAATAATTATTAGTTATAACTTTAATTTATTAAAAAAATTTTATTTTGCTGAATTAAAGATTATAAAATAAAAATAAAAACCAATACAAATATTAGAAAAAATAAGTTTTTAAATAAATTTTTTTAATATATAATTGAATTTTAAAAACTTTATTATAAATATTTAATTATTATATTATACATATATTATATATATTATATTGTCAATATATATATTTTTTTAAAAACATAATTAGCTAAACAAATTAAATTAATATAAGTTATAACTTTAATTTTATTTTTTATAATTATTAATTTTATTAATTAAAATTAAAATTTATTAAATAATAATATAAAAAAAATAAAATTTATAAGTCAATAATATAGTAAATGGTACTTCTAGATCTTTAAACATATGTTTCTAGTTCAATACCTACAGAGAACAAAAAATATATTTACCTTTATATATAAATTTATTGAATATCTTGCATATATTATATTTAATAATTCTTAATTACTGTATATACAAATTTAGTTAGATTATATAAAGATAAAACCTTTGATCTTTTTAACAATTATGAATTAAAAAACAAGTCAAAGTATGAAATATTATATGAAAAAAGATTTTTGATAAAAGTTTATTAATTTTAATCCAAACTGGTAATAATAAATTCTATTATATAATTTAAAAAAATTAATTTTAAACTAATTTATTTCAATATAAAGCTTATAAATTTATTTCAATTGTGATATTTCATAAAACTTAAATATATAACTAAAAGGTAATATATTAATTACAAGTGATAAGAATTTAACAAAAAATTATTAAATTAAATATATTTGGTAAGGATTATACAAAATTAAATTAAAATTTAAGCAAGAATATTAGCTTTATAGTGATAAAAACAGTAATAATACATTATATTAGTAATATATTTTAAAAATTAATGATAGCAAGTAATTAATATAATTGAGATTAAACTTTTTAATAATTTTTTATATAATTTTTTTTAATAGCAGCTGAAAAATATAATTAAATCAATAAAAGAATAGGTTTAAACTAATAATAGAATTTTTTTTTCTTGTATAAGTCCTATTTGAATATAAACTTATCTTTGAGATGTAAATTAACTAATTAGAATGATTAGATTGGCTCAAGGAAAACAAGTAATATTAGAAATAATATTTATTAAGTAGTATTAATTTATATTTAAAATAACAATAGTCTAATTTATAAAAATATTTAATATAATTAAGGATTCTAATAATTTAATTTGATTCTTAATTCTTAAGTTTATATTAAATTTAATATATAGTTATAATCTATTACTATTTTTAATAATATTTTAAATCTTATACAAGTTTATATAAGTCTATTTGATTCTAATTTTTAGAATTACAATATATATATAATAGTAAAATATTAATTATCAATAAAATCTCACATATAATGTCTTTGACTAATCGAAAAAAAAATAATAATAATATAAAAAAATTTTATAATATTGTAAAAACTTATTATTAAAAAAAACTCTTTTTCATAAATTAATTTTTACCTGAAAACTTTCTTATTTAATAACAACTTCTTCAAAAAGCTTTTACTTTTCAAGTATTTTCAAATATTCACAATTATTAAATAACTTCTATTATAAAGCACTTTATAATTAATAATAATAATAAACAGTTTTTATATGTAATAATTTATTAAAACTGAAATCAACTCTTTCAAATATACAGTACTATCTTAATTTTAGCAATAACAAAATAATTAAAACAGAATCCACAAAAAATCTTTATATCTCTAACTTATTAAACCTTTCCAACTAATTTCTTATTGTAAAAAAAGAAAAATATATTAAAAAATTTGTGAAAACAGGTTTTACAAATAATATTTATATTCTTAATTTTACAATAGAAATCAGCTAAAAAAAATCAAGACAAATTAAATTTTCTTAAATTCAATCTTTTTCTTTAATATAAGAAATATACCTTTAATTTTTAATATATCAATAATATTATAAAAAAAATAGAAAAAACTTAATTAAAAACCTATGGGTCTATAGCACAGTGATAATGCTCCATAGGTTACCAGAAGAAGGTCTAGGGTTCAACCCTGCCTGATTACAAAAATTTATTACCTTAATAATTGGTTAACCGGCTTTTAATTCATGTCTTACCCAATCAGCTGACAATCTACTTTCAAATTTAGTTAGGCTGTATGAAGATGGGACCTGGTCTTTTCAACAATTGTGAACTGAAAACAGGTCGAAGCAAGGAAAGTTGCATAAGGAAAGACTTCTGGTCTAACTCTGGTATAAGCCCACAAAATTCTAATCCAAACTGGTAACAGCAGACTCTATCACACAACACAAAGAAACTAACTCTAAACAAGATCTATCCCAATCTGAAGCTTAAAGATCTATCCCATGAGTGATGTTCTTCTAAATTTAAATGAACTGAAAGGACAAAGGTTATCTGCCACAGGAGGTAACAATTCAGGCAAAAATTGTTAAGACCAAGTGAGTCTGGTAAGGATCATTAAGATTAAATCAAAATCCAAGCAAGGACACCAGTTTCACAGATGATGAAAACAGTAGTGAAATGTTATACTAGTGACACATCTCGAGAATTAGCAATAACAGTAACTGGAATACTGGAGTTAGTCTCTATAATAATATTCCATAATAACTTGCTCCCTGCAATAATGAACCAACAGATTTTAGGCAGGTTTAAACTAGTAATAGGATTCCTCTTCTACAAAAGTTCCACCTGACATGTAGATACATTCCCAAGATGTTTAAATGAACATATAGTTGAATAATAGTGGTTAGCATAACTAGTCTTATAGTAATATATGCACAAGACAGTATTAATCTATAGCTTAACTGTAGAGACATAAAAGGATATTCTGTACCAACCGATTTCTGGTTAATTTGTAGAAATACTTGGTGTCTGTTTGAATATATAAATATATCAATAAATATTACACACTGTGCACGTTTCACTATAAAAAAAAAAAAAAAAAAACTTAATTAAATATTGAATTTTATAATCATCTTCAAGAATTTTTTTATTTTTTATAAAATAACAAAAAATCCCAATCAGTTTACTTCTGAAAATGATTTTTCACCTATTATTCTCCTGTCTTTCAAAAAAGAAATATTGATTAAACAGTTACAATACATGCATATGCAAATTCCCTGCCTATTATTTTAATTTTTATTTAAATTAACAATTTTATAAAAATCAATATAATAATTAATATACTAATAAAATTATTTGATCTGGATTCTGTTAAATCCAAACAAATCAATCAAATAAATGTTACTTTAATTATTTTTTTTAATAATCACAACTTAAGTATGGAAATTAATAAGATTCTTATCACAAGTTAATCAAATCTAATAATAATTAATAACATTATTAATCTTAACAAACTTGCTAAAACCTCTATTTAATCTAAAACTATATTATATATCTAGTTATTCTTATTTGAATAATAAGAACTTCTAGAAATTAGAAATATCAAACAATATAAAATACTTAAAGCCAATATTGAAAAACTAGTTAACAATCTTTTCCAAGCATCAAATGATATACAAATTATTATTTAAACTATTATTACTATTATCAAACCTTTTAAATATTTATTTTATTACTTGAAAGCAATAATAAACAAAGTCAATTTCAAAAATTACACATTCTTCAACTTTTTTATTCAAAAAAAAATCTTATGCCAGCTTATCAAAAAAAATTTATTGAAATCAAAAAAGACTTTCAAAACAAATACAAAAAAGAAAACAACCTATATTTTATTAATTTCAAAAACAAAAAGAAAATTCATATTATAATTTGTATTATCTTATTAATTATATACCTGTATGTTATTAATATTAAAAATATGTTCTACTATAAACTAGCAAGCCTTCTTATTTACTAGAGTTCCAATCAGTTTCAGTACTAATTTTTATGTAAAAATATCAAACCAAAAATTTCAATACTGTATCGATCGATATCAGTATTTACCAAAATTTATATTTACAGTATATTAAATAAAATTGCAATTTTTATTTTATTATATTATTATTATATTATTTTTTTTTTACTCCAAATCAGACTGCAAGTCTTGGTGTTTATTAATATGAATCTTAATTAACAAAAATACAATAATACAATATAAGATAATATTATACTAAAGCTAAACTATGTGATCTTGCAGAACACCTGTCAATAGCCAGTAGTCTCTAAGTGTGATTGTGGGAAATGAAAAAATTGCTCAATTTGAAGGATACTTTTTGTCTTCCTCAATTTCATAGCCAGCCTTCATTCCAAGACTATCATCTTTACACAATCGCTATGGTCCTATAGAGATAAAAAAAATTTTTATTTTTTATAGAAAGAAAAAGGGAAAGAGAAGTGTTAAAAGTGAAAAGTTTGTATTGGCAAATAAAAACTTCTTGAAGTCAATCTTGAGTCCGACTGTCTACAGCTGGATATCCATTCAATTTTTACCATTTTGTTGCTAACCAAGAACATTTAAGGGCTCTTTCAGAAAAGTAATTCTTGAAACTTTATGCTCGAAGACTTCTAACCTTTGGAGAGGGTTGATATATTATTTGGTAATTTCTCTTCCAACCAATTCTCTAAGAAATTACAGCT